TGTAAATTAGTTCAACCATTGTGGAAAACAGTGTGGCGATTCCTCAAGGACCTAGAAATAGAAATTCCATTTGACCCAGCAATCCCATTACTGGGTATATATCCAAAGGATTACAAATTATTCTACTATAAGGACACGTGCACACGAATGTTCATTGCAGCGCTGTTTACAATAGCAAAGACCTGGAACCAACCCAAATGCCCATTGATGATAGACTGGATAGGGCAAATGTGGCACATATACACCATGGAATATTATGCAACCATCAAAAACGATGAGTTCGTGTCCTTTGTAGGGACGTGGATGAACCTGGGAACCATCATTCTCAGCAAACTGACACAAGAGCAGAAAATCAAACACCGCATGTTCTCACTCATAGGTGGGTGTTGAACGATGAGAACACATGGACACAGGGAGGGGAGCACTACACACTGAAGTCTGTTGGGGGGAAACAGGGGAGAGACAGTGGGGGGTGGGGAGTTGGGGAGAGACAGCATGGGAAGAAATGCCAGATATAGGTAATGGGGAGGAAGGCAGCAAATCACACTGCCACGTGCGTACCTATGCAACAATTTTGCATGTTCTTCACATGTACCCCAAAACCTAAAATGCAATAAAAAATAAATAAATATAAAAAATGAAAAAAAGGAAAATGTTATTGTTCATTTTAAATGAATTGTATTAGTTATATTTTACTATGTAAAAATTACCCAAACATTTAGCAGCTTAAAACAGTTGATATTCATTATCTCAATGTTACTGTGGGTCAGATGTCCAAGTGCAGCTTAGTTGGATATCTCTGACTCAGGGTCTCTCACAAAGCTATAACTGTCAGTGGGGCGACAGTCATCTTAAGGCTTCACTGGGTGAGGATCTGTTTTTAAACTCACTATATGACTAGTAACAGGTCTCAGGTCCTCACTGCTATGTGGCCAGAGACATTGGTTCCTTACCACATGGATTTTTCCATAGGACAACTCTCAACATGGTAGCTGGTTTTCCTCAGAGAGAGAAACGGTGATTCAGAGAGAGAAAGAGCAAGACAGAAGCCACAGCCTTTTTGTAACCTACTATCTGAAGTAACATTCCATCATTTCTGCTGTAGTCAAGGGAACGAATAAGTCCAGTCCACACTCAAGTGAAGTGGATTACACCAGGGCATGAAGACTAGGAGGCAGGGATCACTGGGCCACCAAGAAGCTGCATATCATATGAATTAACAAATATTGCATATATTTCTCAGTGTTTGTTTCTAATAAGATAATTGTAAATAGATATAACTCACATAAACAGAAGCTATTGGGGGTTCTCAACAATGTATAAGAGTGTAAACGTGTTTATTTGTTTTTGAGACAGGGTCTCACTCTGTCTCGCACACTGGAGTGCAGTGTCATGATCTCAGCTCACTGCAACCTCTACCTCCCGGGTTCAAGCGATTCTCCTGTCTCAGCCTCCCAAGTAGCTGGGAGTACAGGTGCACACCACCACACCCAGCTAATCTTTGTATTTGTAGTAGAGATAGGATTTTACCATGTTGGCCAGGCCGGTCTCAAATTCCTGCCCCCCCCCAGTAGAAAGGGGAGGGCAGAGAGCTGTTCTTGTGTCTGTTTCTTTTTAATTGACTTCAGTTCAAAATAATTCTTATGTCGAAGAGGCACATTCTTCAATCCTTCACATGTAAGAATTATTTTTGTACAAAGTAATTTAGAAATCTCTAAGATAGTTGGTATTGGTTAAAAATAAATTTAGTTTCATGGAAATTTTAGATAAATTCAGAGTGAATTATGTCATGTCCGGGCTCCCTCCTAAAGAAGGTATCATCATCAACTCACTGGCAGTGTTGGGTTAAAAGAAAGGGTGGGATGTATCCTTTAGCATTTTTATTTTTAGCACTGTTGAGTGAACATAACACTTTTTTATAATTACGTAGAGTTACATAAAATGACCAGTTTTCTTTTTCATTATGTTTGAACATTGTTGGTTTGACCAAGGAGATTTGCTTAAGTAGCTAGGTAATTAAGTAATACACTCTAAGACCATGGCTGAAGGGATTAAAATACAAAATCTATACTTTTGGTCATGCTCTGCAGAGGTTACAGTCTAAGTAGATAAATTTAAGACTTCTAACTAAAGATCATATCAATATTTGGAACTTACATATACATATATACATACCATATATATGGACTATATATATACTTAAAATGTATTTAATATTTATTTATTTGCCTTTTTTTGAGACAAGTTCTTGCTCTCTTTCCCAGGCTGGGGTGTAGTGGTGCCAGCGTGGGTCACTGCAGCCACAACTTCCCGGGCTCAAGCTTTCCTCCCTCCTCAGCCTCCAGAGCAGCTGGGACTACAAGTGCATGACACCACACCAGGCTAATGTTTCCCATTGCAAAGCTCATATCATCACAGCTAAGCCCAGTAGGAACCATTTCAAGCTAGCCTGAGTTTCCCTTTAAAAGGACCCCATCAATCTTCAAAATGATCCCAACTTTCTAGCATAAGATTTCCCTGGCTCACTTTGTGCTTCTCCTGCCCCAGACTTGGTATCACATATTTCTTTAAGGAGTCCTGCTTCATTGTACTGAGAAATGGTATTAAAGCCCAGAATTTAGACACTAGGGTGCTCTTTTCTACTGCGTTGGCCATGATTCTAGCCATTTCTGCCTGTACATCTAGAAAAAAATATAATCTTAAAAATCATGAGTTCACGATATTTCCAATTCTGTTTAACATTAGAGTGTTTTACATTGTTCTTTTGTTTTCTTTTTAAAAAAACTTTTATTTTAGTGGTTCATATGTAGGTTTGTTATCTAGGTAAACCCATGTCACAGGAGTTTGGTGTACAGATTATTTCATTACCCAGGTATTAAGCATAGTACCCAATATTTTTCTCATCCTCTTTCTCCTTCCAACCTTCACTCTCAAGAAAGCCCCAGTCTCTGTTTTTCCCTGTGTTGTTTGTTTGTGTCTATGTATTCTTGTTGTTTAGCACTCATTTATAAGTGAAAACATGGAGTATTTGGTTTTCTGTTCCTGATTTATTTTGCTTAGGATAATGGCCTTCAGCTCCAACCATGCTGCTGCAAAAAACATGATCTTATTCTTTTTTATGGCTGCATAGTATTCCATGGTGTGTATATACCACATTTTCTTTATCTGTTATCTCATTGTGGTTTTGATTTGCATTTCTCTAATTATTAGTGATGTTGAACATTTTTTCATATGCTTTGTGGCTGCAAGCATGTCTTCTAACTGGGTCTTTTCTTCCCTTACAATGAAATTTTTGATTGCCAGAGATCTTTGGCAAAGTCCTAGAGAATGCCTCTTTTCCCTTTTTTGTTTTGCTTTCTGTGGAAGGAATATCTAGTTGTATAGCTAATTTCTGCTCACTGCCTTAGAAAGTTTAGGAAGACTACTTAAGGCTTATCTTTTCATCCCATCTACTCCTAATCCCTGTGGAATGTGGGCTCAAGGATATTGCTGAGGGACATACACCTCAGAGTCACGCCTCTCTCCTGATTATTAAGGCCTTGCTACCAGATTGGATTTGTCAGAGTGGGATGCCTTACTGAATCTGAGTTACCCACCCTCCTCAGGAGGGTCCTGCAGTCTCATTCACGTAAAATTTCATTAGGTTTTTATTTCAGTTCTCCAACATCAGGACCCAAGTCTTTAATAGTAGATGTTGTGACTTCTTCTGCACACTCAATTGATTTATATAAAACTTTTCACTAGTCTCAAAGCAAAGTGGTACACAATCATTCTTTCAATTCATGACATAAACCTGGTATTTAATTAATTAGACATTTAATTTAATTTAATTAAGTGAACAATCTTATGGAAATAATGTTTCCTAGGTTTTTTTTTTACTTGGAGCTTTTTGGGTTTTTTTTTTTTTTTTTTTTTTTTTTTTTTTTTTTNTTTACTACTAGATTACTTTCTAGGTCTCATTTGTACACATATAACCTTGGATGCTTATAAACTATATTGTTTTACATAATTTTACATTTTACAAATGTAATGAACAGAAACTTTTCTATAGTCTTGAGGTAACAATCATTTGATGAATGTTGGGTATTTGAATTATTTCCATTCTATACTATTCAGAATAGCCCTGCTTTAACGATCATTATAAAAACTATTATTGGCCAGGCATGGTGGCTCAGGCCTGTAATCCCAGCACTTTGGGAGGCTGAGGTAGGTGGATCACCTGAGGTCAGGAGTTCAAGACCAGCCTGGCCAACATGGTGAAACCCCACATTTACTAAAAATACAAAAATTAGCTGGGCGTGGTAGCTGGCACCTGTAATCCCAGCTACTTGGGAGGCTGAGGCAGGAGAATCACTTGAACCTGGGAGACAGAGGTTGCAGTGAGCCAAGATCACGCCACTGTACTCCAGCCTGGGTGATTGAGTGAGACTCTGTCTCAAAACAAATAAATAAACAAAAAACCTATTACTGAGGACTGACGTTTGATATTGATAATACAAATGTATTCATACTGATACTTTTAGAGTGCTTTCAAAACATTCCTACGTCAGAGTTGTTAAGGGAATTAAAAAAGATAAATGATGTTAACTTAGTCCCTAGCACAGATACTAGTACTTAGACTTTAATCTATATTAGTTCTCATCCTCCAGATAATGAGTTTGATCTACTGATCCTCATTAGTGAAGCAAGAATAATCTGTTCAGAAGTCTTTCTGAATTCACTGCTGGTGTTTCTTTTCTATTTGGCATCACATATAAAGCATTTCTTTTAAAGCACATGCCAATTTTTTTCAAAGGGATCTTTGTTCTCAGGTGATCCATTGTTTGTGGTATCACTGCAGAATTTGGGACAAATTTCAACTTATATCATAGGACTCCTCAGTGTCTTTATTATTCAATCCCCTCACTCCTTCCCTTATGGCTCCAAGCACATTCTTCCTCCTCTCACTGCCAGAGTGGTTTCAGAATATTCTGTAGTAAGTTCTCAGAAGCCTATTGTGCAGTAACAAAGAATTCCAGCAGTGAGCTGTGAGTTCCGTCTTTGCTGGCTTTCCCAAGTGGAAGGCTACACTCATCCTTCACTAATGGCAGACTAGGACAAGCATTGCCCAGGCCTGCAAGCTTGTTAAGCAGTAGGAACCCAGCAAGAACTCATCATGCTAATCAAACCTGTTGGGTGGATATGTGGGCAGGTGTTGAAGAACTTTTCTGGAAGAAGTACACACAATCTTGTTGTAAAGGGGGTATGGGTGTGGGAACAACTGGGAATGAGATCCCCTAGAGTTCCTTTCCTTTCCCAGTCATCTAGGAATTTGATTCAGTGTTTCGTGTTCTTTTGAATCGTTCAGGGGATGTTTACAAAAGTTTTTTGTTTTGTTTTGTTTTGTTTTTCTGTAACCTTTTTTTGTTTTAGTCGAGGGGATCCAGAAAGTAATCATGGACCTTGTAGATGAGTTTAAAGATGAATTTCCCAGCATCCTAGGATTATCACAGTCTAATCAGGTAAGGTGATTTTATAACCTTCAAAAAGAATACAAAAATTATTTTCTATTTTTAGTATTGTACCATTTATTTAATACTTGATTTTGAGAACAGTGCTCAAACTTAAGAAAATACTAATTTTTGCCTCAGAAAAGCAAATTTCAAATATTCTCATTAAGAGAGGTCTATGGGAAGCAGAGAGATTGTGGACCAAGAAGTGAGGTAAATGAAAAATTAAGTTTAAAGACAATCACTGTGTCATTAGGTTAAAAACCTGGCAATCTCTCATAGCTACAATTGCAATGTAAAATCAGAAAAATACCTAAGATATTCTTCAGCAAAAATCTATGTCAATTAAATCAGTGCAAAAACTTGAGATAAATTGTAACAATGGAAAGATAAATACAACATGGTTGTGTGTTTTAATACTGAAAGAAAACAGTAGCATCAGTCTAAACAAAGTATACATGTATATTTTGTAAACTTCTGTTCCAAAAAGGATTTGAAACAGATAAAATATTGGGAGTGAAGCAGGAGTGAGGTATATATTTTGAAGAGACATAAAGTCAGGAAAAATAACATCTGTTTAGGGAACACATATAACCTAATTTACTCAAAGGTTCACAGCCCTTAATGGAAAAACGTGGTTCAGTTATTTTGATCACAGTTGGAATAGAATATGCTATGAGGGTACATGGTACAGTAACAATCCTCTTATCCAGAAGTCAAACTCTTGGCAATGTCAAACATGAGGTACATAGACAAAACCTGGAAGTTAACAAAAAGCACTCTGAGTAACACAGTAATCACAAAGTATACACATTTCATTCCAAAGGAGAAGTGATAGAGCTACCTTTAACCATACATGCAGACAACCCGCCATTAGACATTTACTAGACACCTCGCTATTGCTTGGGACTGGAGAGAAGAAATACAGAGATAAATAAGACATGATCCTTTCTGCCAATGAGCTTAATCAAATGGAGATAGAGTTGTAAACAAGTAATTGCATTAGAATAAGGTAACTGTTATACCTCTATATCTAATTTTGAGGAGTCAGCAACTCTACTAAGCAATGTCAGAGAAGGCTTCATGGAGGAAGGATGCTTTTAAGTTGGGTTCCAAAGGATGAATAGTAGTTTTCAAGGTAAAGAAAAGGGTGGGAATAGTGGGTAGGGGCCGGAAGCATATTCCATTGGCAGTGTGGTTTAACATAGTATGTTTCCAAAATGTCAAATAAATGTAAATTAAAGGCATGTAGGATAGAGGGGTTGAGGCAGGAAATAGTAGAAAATAGGAAATGTAACCAGGAGTTATGATGTGGAGGTCTTTGTATGCCATGTGAAAAAGAATGGACTTTCCTGTATATGTAACACAGATATCAGTCACAGAAAGGTTTTGGTCTTGGAAATGACATTCAGTTTGCACATTGAAAATACTTCTTTAGTGGTAATGAAGTCTGAATGGAGGCAGAGCTTCTAGGAATATTTTGTTGCAAATGACAGCTAAGAACAAGGACATTAACACTGGGAATAGAAAGAATGAGTTGAACACAAGAGATACTAAGCATATTTTGAAACTGACAGTGTGGGATGAGAGAGAATATGTAGAGGTTGAGGAAGATTCTGGATTTCATGGGTGGCTAGAAGAATGGTGATCCTATTAACTAGGATCCAAGACAAGATGAGGAAGAGCAGCTTTGGAGATAATGAGTTTGATTGGATCGCAGTTTAAGAGGTCATGCTACATCCTGTCCAAGGCTTGGAGTTGAGTTATAAATTGCATATGTAGGTTGGAAGTGCAAGGGAAGCCCAGGCTGAGGATGTATATTTGGGAATCATCAGTGTATAGTATGTTGTTATAGTGTAGAGTTAAACCATGTGTTTAACTAACTGTAGTGCACATTTAAACCTAAATTACAATCATCACTGCTCAAGAAGATTGTGTAGTAACATGAGGGCATAGGATAGAGCCCCCAACAATGCCATTGTTTAAAGGGGTTAGCGGGGAATCAGGAAAGAGTAGAATGAAGAGAATGAAATTCTGTGAAGCCACAGAAGTGGAGAGAAAAAGGAGAGAGAGATTAGCAGCAGTCAGGATCCTCAAAGATGTCAGATATAAGGTACATTTTTGAAAGTTACTTTTCATGTCAGTAAAAATTTAGCCAACACTAAGGGTAAAATTTTAGTTACCCAGAAAATTTACTTATGTGGAACCCCTCATTCACCAATAATGCTTGCTGTGTACTTAAACTCTTGTTTAGCAAAAATAATTTTCTGTTCTTTGATCTGAATAGGAGGTAATTGTTATACACACAGATGATTCAAATCACTGAGCCCATATATTTCTAAAAATAAATTAACTGATAGGTATTCTTATTTACCATTGAATCGGTTGAGTTTTAACTGTCAGGACCTGCTGAACTCCCTTAGCGATAGTAGAGTTCTGGGACTTGTAGAATGGACTCCAGATGGTACAATAGAAGACAATACTGATTTAGCCTGTAAGACAATAGCCCTGGGGGAGGTGGACATTGCCAGTGTCAGTCATCACAGGAAGAGGTGGGCATGTTAGATATATGACACCAGAATGCAGAAGGTTGGCCTTTGGCTGTCAGGGGAAGCAACTTTGCTTTCTGCCTTTGGCTGGTCCTCTCTTGGGCCTAGTGTTTGAGGAGGGGTGACACTGAAGTGTAGGAGTCTGCAGGCACAGTGGTAAGATGGCATGCAGATGCTGGTCAGATCAGCTAAGCAGGAGAGATAAGTCTTAAGAGTTTCTGAGGGCAAACTGGGTTTTCTAATACTGTGTCTTAGGCTTGGCATCCAGTTGCTCCCCCTCTTTGCATTCCCCTAGCCTTGGTATAAAGTCTTTTGAAACATTGGAGGCAATTTTTGGCTATGCTCTGGAGTAGGAAGGAAAGAGATGTACATGTCTGGTCAAGGTCAAATAGCTCAGGCCATCACAGTAGAAATTATTGAGAAAGCCTCAGGGTGAATCCTAGGAAGCCGGAGACCGCTGTGGAAAATCTCATTATCTTTTTCAAGTTTTGATTCTCCCACCACTGCTGAAATCAGAGAAACTGGGGTTTGAATTAATCAAATAAATGGCGACTTCATTCATTCATTTTTATTTTCTGAATAGCTTCATTATCACTAGAACCATAAGCAGGGTTTATGATGACATCAATTGATATTGTGATCCCAAAAGATAAAGCTCTGAATTCCTATTTCCAACTAATTGAAGTCATTTACTTATAGAACTTTGCCCAACTCAGAGAGGAACATAAAGTTAATTAGTTACTTTATTTCTCATTTTCAAAACACTTGACATTGCTCTTTTCCCACCATTTCCTTCAAAGAATGTGTTGCTGAGATTGGCAAGAAACTTGAGTAGTTAGGGGATATTTTCATGTATTTGAAGTTATTTGCTCTTCAAATATAAATTATGTGGAAAACATTACTAATACTCAGTTGTTAGCCAGATTATTTTTAAAAGGTTAGATTGTAAGTGCTGCAAATTTTTTAATTTCCAGGATGATCCATACTTCCCAAAAACACAGTGGAAGGAATGGTTTTAAAAATACTTAGGGGGCTTTATTATTTGGGCTGTATCTTAAATTTCTAAATTTTGTGATTAGTATTTAAATCTTCTCCTCCCCAGGCATGTATTTATTTAGGAGAAGGCCATTTTGCTGGCCTAGACCAAAAAAAGATTTGATGGGAGTGATGATGAAATTTTTGTAGAGGAATATACGTAGAATACAATCAGAATAATGCTTACTAAATTGTTCTTACTGGATAAAAATTTTGAAGGAACTTTTCTTTTTAAGGCTGGAAAAGTTAATTTTATTTAATTTAATTAATTAATGTATTTTGAGACAGAGTCTCGCTCTGTCACAGAGGCTGAAGTGCAATGGCACAATCTCCGCTCACTGCAACCTCTGCCTCCTGGATTCATATATATATGTAAAGATTTAAGGGCTGGGCCTGGTGGCTCACACCTGTAATCCCAGCACTTTGGGAGGCTGAGGTCAGGAGTTTGAGATCAGCCTGCTCAGCATGGTGAAACCCCATCTCTACTAAAAATACAAAAATTAGCCAGGCGTGGTGGTGCTCGCTTGTAATCCCAGTTACTCGGGAGGCTGAGGCAGAAGAATTGCTTGAACCTGGAAGGCAGAGGTTGCAGTGAGCTGAGATTGTGCCATTACACTCCAACTTGGACCACAAGAATGAAACTCCATTACCAAAAAAAAAAAAAAAGATTTAAGTACATGACAGGGAATTCAAGGGGTTTCGTGGAGGGATAGAATTATTGGACATTGAATAAACACAGGATACTATGCACAATGTAGTTATGCAGTAGTCAGTCTCTGTCAGAAGTAGTTTTAATAATGCATTGGAGAATTACAACAGTTACTTTTCAAAGGCCTATTTTTCAGAAAAGAGAACCTGCGCAGAAAACATCCAAAATCAGGATGGCTATTGCTTTAGCCAAGATTAATCGAGAAACATTAATTCAAGGATTAAACAGCATATCCAGATCCTCCAAATCAGTGGCCAAACTTCTGCATCCTCAGCTTGCATGCAGACTTTTAGAGCTAAGGCACATATCTGCTCGTCTGCTGAGGGAAGTTAACGTGCCAAGGCAACCCCTGTATAACACGCAGGTAAGGGAATACTGCATATGCACAAGGACCCCTTTTAAAGAAACTGTTTTGAATTTGCAAAATTTGAAAAGTAAAATGTAGTGAACCTGATTTTCTATGTGTAAAACAAAAATACTCGGATAAGAGAAATGAATGGTTGGGACTTTTTAAAATATAGTGTAATCTTTGGTTTAAATAACTTTGAAAGGAAAAGCAATGTGGATTTTCTTCTACCTTACTGTTTAATTGAACTGTATGAAACTGTCCATTTCAAATGGTGCAACTTAAATATATGCATGCAAATTACCATTTATGTTAAATCTAACAGAAATCCTACAACTAGCCTTAAAAATTGTATTTTATTTTTTTCCTCATAACTTTGTTATATTTCCAAGATAACTTTTGCTTGCCATAATATATTGAGTATATTTACCTGTAAATTCAAATTATATTTTTTACATTGTCTTATTGAGGAGCTGTTATATTTTGTTGAGGATAACAACTCTTAAAAAGCTTTTTTGGAACCAATTTTTTGTTTTCTAAACTTTGAGTTTTTCAATGTGGGCATTATACAAAGCATCCTAAATTTCACTACAAAAGATTCAGAATTTTGCAAGTCTGGCACGTAAACTCCAGGATGAATTAATTTGAACTCTTTGTTGAAGGAGAAGAAAATGAGGCTCAAATTGAATTAAACCAAAAAAGAAGATGAATTAGCTCCCGTAAACAATCCAGAGCTGTTAAAGATTCCCGACATAGCTGGATGCTGGTATTCAAACGAGACCTTCTGGATCCTTTCTCGCTTTTGCTCCTGTTCTTGGTTCTGCTTTCTCTCTTGATGCCATTATTATGCTGGCTTTCCCCTCGAAGTTGCAAGATAATTTGCAGCTGTTCCATGGCTGTATTCTTCCAGGTTCAATTCCAGCAGAAAAAAAGAGAGAGAAAATCTCTGACTCCTCATCCCTGGCAAAGTCTCCAGGTTCACTCCAAGAGCACAGCTTATGTTCTCAGTGCTTACCTCTAAACCAAGGACACGAGATGCACTGATTGGCCTGGAATTTGATTGCTTACTTATCCCTAGAGCTGAGGTTGCAGCCCTGTCCAGATCCACATGAACTGAGAGTGGTGTGGAATGGGGGAATACGCAAGCAAAAATCTGGGTTGCTTTAAGATGGTAAGAAAATGGATGCTGGTTGGCTAAAATCAACAAGTACCCTTCATGTAGGAATCTCTCTTTAATCAAAGATTTTGCTATTTCTAGAAAGCATCATATATTTCAGCTACAAATTGCCTGAAAGCAGCATTTATAAAAGGCTCTTTTATAATTTCTGATGTCCAAGAAAGTAAAAAATGGTGTGTATTTGCTAACCACTGGTTTCTTTATGAACTACAAGCCTTATTCCTGTATCTTTAGATCATTAAAAAGAAACACAGCTGTGGCTCATGTCTGTAATTCCAGCTCTTTGGGAGGCCGAGGTGGGTGGATCATTTGAAGTCAGGAGTTTGAGACTAGCCCAGCCAGCATGGCGAAACCCTGTCTCTACTAAAAATACAAAATTAACCAGCATGGTGGTGCACCTGTAGTCTCAGCTACAGGAGAGGCAGGAGAATAACTTGAACCTAGGAGGCAGAGGTTGCAGTGAGTCAAGATTGCACCACTGCACTCTAGTTTGGGCAACAGAGCAAGACACTATTTCAAAAAGAAAAGAAAAGAAAAAAAATGATGAACTATATTATCTTAAATCCCCACTGAAATATCTTTCTAAACCTAATATTTTGATGTTTCTTTCCTTGCATTGTCAAACCTATAGTTTTTATGAGGGTTGGAGAAGAAATGTCTTTTGAAGAATATTTCTGTATTTAATACGAAATCATGTTTAAAAACACTGGTCATTATTCTATTTAGGGTCTTCCTTTTTGCTTCTCTGCTAAATCAGGACTGTAAAGGATCTGAGATCTTACACTACTTGCAAGCTAACAAATTCGCCTGCCACAGTTGTACACACACATATGAATATGTACTCACACACACACACACACACACACACACACACACACACACACACTCGAGCCTTGGGTCACAAACACATAGTTTATTATTCACAGCAAAAGCATCAGCCAGAGCAGTATCTTGTGTTGGTTCCCTATGCTTACATTCCTTAACGCAGTGTGATGCGGGCCAAATGTTACCTGTGCACACAGTACGTTGCATCACAGGAGAGAGGAACCTTGAAATCAGGGGACTCAGCTCTTTATGGGGACACTGGCACATCTCCCTAGCCTCCTCTCCAAAAACTTACACAGATAGAGAGACAGAGAGTGAGAGAATGAGATTGAGATTAATTATTCATTACCCTGGAATATAAGTACATGTTTCAGGGAAAAAGGAGAGGGCTTTATCTTTAGTGCCCTGTGACACGTTTGGGGAGGTAATTCTCTAGATGTCTCTAGAGGGATATACTTTTTCTACTTTGCAAGGCTGTTTGCTCTTCAAACATGTCCTTTGCTCAGAAGGGCCAATCTGCACAGGAATAAGAGAAATCCACGTAGGCATATCTCCCAACACTCATGAAAATTCAGTGGCAAGAAAAAAACTCTATCTTTCCAGCTGAGTTTGTGTGTTTTTATCCAGTAATGAGATCTAAAAGACACAATATGTTTGCCTTTTTACTTTGACTGATAATGAGTTTCTGAGGTAAATTTAGAGATCAAATGTGATAACTTATTCCGGGAACCTAAGATAAACAGGCTTAGGAACGAAGTGACGTGAGCAAGGTCCATGTGTTAACTCTGACTCTCTTTTCTGAAATTATTTAAAATCCATGACTATGAAATCTCTTCTTCTTTTCCCTTATTCTAATTGTCTTATGTTCTAGCTTTAATTTTACAAATTCTTATCAAAGAAATATTCAAAATGTATAGAAGTTAATTGATTAGAAGTCTCACTTGAATTTAAACTAGTAGTAATATTTTGCTATATTGCCTTCAGATCTCTCCTTTATAAAATAAAACATAATGAACCATGCCCCAATTCCTTATCCTTTCTTCTCTACCAGAGGTAATCATTTTTTTGAAGTTGATGTGAACATTTACATGCATACTTTTATATTTTCTCTACATTTGTATGCATATAGTAATGTTTTTTTCCCCAAATTTCTTGCTTTCTTTAATTATTTTAAACATATGTATGTATGGTCTTTTTAATTATTGTCCTTGACTTATTTGGAGGTGCTAATTTTTCTGACTATTGTGATCTATATTGCTTCTCACTTATAGATAATTTTCTTATAATTTTATTTTAACTGAAACTTGAAAAGAGAAAAAGAAAACTTCAGAGTTTTTTGTTTTTGTTTTTGTTTTAATCCCTTTTGGCCTTGGTGGTGAAACTGTCCCTCTAGAGAAATTGTACTTGTTGCTCCAGGAGTATGAGCAACCTGAGACCAATCTTTATGTTGTTTTCAGTTTAGGATTCCCTGCATCAGGCTGATAAGATAAATTCAGGTCCCTTATAAGGGACAAGCTTGGAATTTTAATCTCTCATGGGAGCCCCATATAGAGACCAGCTTCCTTACTTTCTTCCTGTACTGGTGGATGCAATTATTTGAGTCCCAATTTCACTGAAATTGCAGCTCTGAAAAGGCTTGATCCCTACCTCACATCTATCCAAGTCTCATATCCAGTCTCTGTTTTAATACTCAAGCACCCAACCATTATTTTAGGGTCCAGCACCATCTCCAGAGTTCCTGGACTATAAGCTCACACACTTGCTGCTCTGGCTTTTAGTTCCCTCTTTGTTCCTGGCACTGGGGGTGAGAGGAAAGGTCCCTTTGTTTTTTGTAAACTCGGTCTTGTATTCTATCTGTTGAGTTTCATTTTTATAGCATTTCTAGGTGTTTTTGTGTGAGATGCTCCATATTAGCTCAGTCTGCCATGTTTGTGGAACCAGATGTCTTTCAGCTTTATTTCTTAATATCTTCCTTTACAAGTTTTAAGATGATTAAATTTGTTGGAAGTGAAGTATAGTTCTACTTTTTTATTTATTCAACAAATAGTGGCCAAGTGCAGTGGCTCACACCTGTAATCCCAACACTTTGGGAGGTTGAGGCAGTGGATCACCTGAGGTCAGGAGTTCAAGACCAGCCTGGCCAATATGGTGAAACTCAATCTCTACTAAAAATACAAACATTAGTTGGGCATGGTGGCAGGTGCCTGTAATCGCAGCTACTCAGGAGCTGAGGCAGGAGAATCGCTTGAACATAGGAGGCGGATGTTGCAGTGAGCCAAAATCATACCACTGCACTCCAGCCTGAGCAACGAGAGCAAAACTCCATCTCCAAAAAAAATTTATTGAAAACCTGATATACAAAATCACTCGTTTAGGTACCAGGGACTCAGAGATGTCTCACCCTTGCCCTGTGGTCTGTGGGGCTCACAGATAAATAAGCAAACAATGTCAGTAGGATGTAGCAAGTGCATGATCAAAGTATGCAAAGTGCACTATGGAAGCCTCAAGAAGGGGCCTATCATTCCAAAGAGTGGTCCATGTGGACATTCTAGAGATAGGATACTGTATCTGAGTCTTGAAGGAGTAAGAATTAGCCAGATGAGAAGTAGGAGAATCATTCCAAGAAAAGAACAGTATATATGAAGATACTGAGGTGCGAGAGAACATGACTTATTTGGAGAACATAAGTAGATCCATATGGCTGGAGTGAGACAAGTGAGAACAGTCCCAGGTCAGAGGTTCCAGGGTTCTTGAGGGTTGTGGGTTGGGAAGAAGCTTTATATGGGTAATATACAGTAGCTAGGGTTGAGAATCAGAATTGCCTGTGAGGGAAAACTAAGTTGTAGTGAACAATGTGTCTCAAATCTCCAAGACTCTGTGAAGACAGAAATAGAACTGACTATGAGGACAATGGCCTGGAGAGTCAAAGGTACGACAGAAATGTATGAGATGTGGCAGAGGTCAATGGATTGGTCCGTAAATGGAGGGTATCCATGGAACCAGAGTGCGCTGAGAG